CCCAGTGAAAGAAGACGTACGATTTGTTGCCGTTGTTTTGGCTTCGAAGTGATATCCCAGTGCTAAGAAGTACAATTCGTTGCCGTTGTCTTGGCCTCGAAATGCTGCCCCAGTGCAAGGAGAAGTACAATTTGCTGCCGTTTTGTGTTTCGAATCTCTTGCCGTTGTCGTGGCCTCGAAATGATGCCCCACTGCGAAGAAATACGATTTGTTGCCGTTGTTTCGGGTTCGAAGTGCTGCCCCAGTGCTAAGAAGTACGATTTGTTGCCGTTGTTTTGGCGTCGAAGTGCTGCCCCAGTGCTAAACTTGTTGCCGTTGTTTTGGCTTCGAAGTGCTGCCCCAGTGCTATGGAGTACGATTTGTTGCCGTTGTTTTTGTTCGTTCGAAGTGATGCCCCAGTGCCAAGAAGTACGATTTGTTGCCGTTGTTTTGGCCTCGAAGTAATGGCCCAGTGCCAGGAAGTACGATTTGGAGCCGTTGTTCTGGCTTCGAAGTGCTGCCCCAGTGCTAAGAAGTACGATTTGTTGCCGTTGTTTCGGGTTCGAAGTGCTGCCCCAGTGCTAAGAAGTTCGATATGTTACTGTTGTTTCGGCTTCGAAGAATGTCCCAGTGAAAGAAGACGTACGATTTGTTGCCGTTGTTTTGGCTTCGAAATGATATCCCAGTGCTAAGAAGTACGATTTGTTGCCGTTGTCTTGGCCTCGAAATGCTGCCCCAGTGCAAAGAAGTACGATTTGCTGCCGTTGTTTTTTTGGCTTCGAAGTGATGCCCCAGTGCTAAGAAGTACGATTTGTTGCCGTTATTTTGGCTTCGAAGTGCTGCGCCAGTGTTGCGATTTTCGAAGTCCCAATACGAAGAAGAACGATTTGTTGGGTTCACCGGTGTTCTGGCTCCGAAATGACATCCCAGTGGTAAAAATGATTTGTTTGTTTCCGTTGTTTTGGCTTCGAAGTGCTGCCCCAGTTCAAAGAAGTAGGATCTTTTGCCGTTGTCGTGGCCTCGAAATGATGCCCCACTGCAAAGAAATACGATTTGGAGCCGTTGTATTGGCTTCGAAGTGCTGCCCCAGTGCCAAGAAGTACGATTTGTTGCCGTTGTTTTGGCGTCGAAGTGCTGCCCCAGTGCTAAACTTGTTGCCGTTGTTTTGGTTTCGAAGTGCTGCCCCAGTGCTAAGAAGTACGATTTGTTACCGTTGTTTCGGCTTCGAACTGCTGCCCCAGTGCCAAGAAGTACGATTTGTTTCCGTTGTTTCGGCTTCGAAGCTTTGCCCCAATGCGAAGAAGTACGATTTGTTGGGTTTCCCAGTGTTGTGGCTTCGAAGTGATATCCCAGTGCTGAAGAGAACGAATTGTTTCCGTTGTTTTGGCTTCGACGTGATATCATAGTGCAAGAAGTACGATTTGTTGCCGTTGTCTTGGCCTCGAAATGCTGCCCCACTGCTGGGAAGTACGATGTAGTGCCGTTGCTTTGGCTTCCAAGTTATGCTCCAGTGCTAAGAAGTACGATCTGTTGCCGTTGTTTTTTTTTCGTTCGAAGTGATGCCCCAGTGCCAAGAAGTACGATTTGTTGCCGTTGTTTTGGCATCGAAGTGATGCCTTACTGCTAAGAAGAACGATTTGCTGCAGTTATTTTGGCTTCGAAGTGATGCCCCGGGCCGTAGAAGTACGATGTGGTGCCGTTGTTTTGGCTTCGAAGTGCTGCCCCAGTACAAAGAAGTACGATTTGTTGCCGTTGTTTCGACTTGCAAGTGATGCCCCAGTGCTAAGAAGTACGATTTGTTGCCATTGTTTTGGCATCGAAGTGCTGCCCCAGTGCTAAACTTGTTGCCGTTGTTTTGGCTTCGAAGTGCTGCCCCA